TCCAACTTAGAAAAGCGATTGAAGTCAATTCGTTCCAGTTATTTCTTGCTGAATGAGGCGATGGATTCTTGGGAAGAAGAGGAGAAGCTCGCGTTCGACCCAGAGAAGTCACGCTATCTGATGGCTTTCAACGGATGGGTGATGAGTGACAATCCGTTGAAGAACTTTGCCCTCAAAGACTCGCAGGTCTGTCTTTTTTCTAATTCAAGATGTAAACTCGCATAAAAAGGTCGATTTTCAAAGGTGTACCTGCGTCGTGAACTGGTCTGTTGGGGAGACTCGATAAAGTTGAATTACGGTGAAAAGCCAGAAGACTGCCCTTACCTTTGGCAGTACATGAAGGACTACACGTATGTTTATTTGTACATTCTACAGCCCAAATATTATTCATAAGCAATGATTTTCAGAGAAAAATGTGCGCGTATGTTCCACGGCCTTCGCATTGACAACGCTCACAGTACTCCCATCCATGTTGCTGAAGTAAGCTCCTTCCTTATCCCGTTTTTTTTTTCTTGATTTGAATATTTTTCTGTGAAATATCAATATCAAGTACAGGAATAAAGGAGCCTAACCTGTTCCACAAGTGGTTAATCTTCCAGTAAAAATAATTTTTGCATTAATTCTGTTAGATTTAATGAGGTGTCATTTTGCGGTACGCACCTTAGAGGCAGAGATCTTGACGATTGAGGGTGTCCCCCAAGAGGCCCGTCGCGCGGCGAAGGAAGAGACGCAGACGCGGCAAAGGACGAGTCGCAGCGCATACTGTAGCGGTTAGGCGTCAGGTTAAATAGAGTGTACCATACTACGTCTCATATCGCACAGCACGCGCTGCGACTCGTCCTTTGCCGCATCTGCGTCTCTTCCTTCGCGGGCCTCTTGGGGGACACCCGACGATTGGAGTGAGAGTGGCTGGACGTCCAGGTGTTGAACGTCATTTGTGAAAGCGCGGTAAGAGGTGGTCTCCAGCACACCTCTAGCAGCCTTTATCTATGACGGCCAGTTACGTCACCAAAAGCGCCACTGTTCTAATCATCGTGATCGCTGCCTTTGATATTACCCCTACTTTTTGTACGGCAGTGGTGTAGTGGCAAGTGGCACGCTGCGAGCGGTCCGGGGATCAAATCCTGGGTCGTGAGTCGCCCGGGCCAACCAAGCCTTCCATCCCTCCGGGGTCGGTTAATTGGTACCAGACTTGTCTGGGAGGATAAAAACACTGACTTGTACATCGGCTGGCCCCCGCAAGTCATTGTATAGGCCACATCGCATTCAAACGCCACTACGAATGTACAAATGGAAGTAGAATGCGTGCCGCATCCCAAAAAGGGATTGATCAACGGCAAATGCTTTATCCTTTATCCTTTTATTAGCACTTTCTAAATGGAATTGTTTATGAACACATTAGAGACATGAGATTGTGGCGGATTTTGCAAAGATCGCGGGTGCTCTTGAAAATTCCATCCTGATTTCTGTCTATTTTGAGTTGCCCTGCAATTCACACGGACGAAAACTCTCTTAAAACTCTCATAATCGAAATGAGGATAATCTTGGCGGATCACTAGTGCTCCATTTAGTTAGGTGCAGGCGCTCAGGAGCAGTCGGATGGTGGATTACTAACAGTAAGAGAGCAGGCGCTCATTGTTGGGGAGGGGGATATAACACGTGGAGCGTGGGCCAGTTGGGGGAGGTAAATCTGATGCGAGAGGGGAAGGGGATTCTGCGGAGGATGAACGTGTGTGAGCAATTTTTTTGCCTTCCCTGGCGTCCACCCCCCCCCTCCTTGGTTCTTTATGTTCAGGAAGGGTACACCACTCCTGGATGGACGGCTTTTCCAACAGGCCCTGTCTTTGAAATAATATCCTCCCCGTTCCGTTCCTCTCTTCCACGAAAAAGAATTAGATCACTAGAAATTAGGGTTGAAAAGTGTGAACATAAAAAAGAAACCTTCTGATAATACTTATGGCGGTGTGGATACTGGACTCCTATATTCACTTCCTTAGCTATAGGTTCGCAATGGGATTTTAGTTTTTTGTCGTTGGTTTTTCGGCATGATTCTAATTTCACAATTTTTTCAATACTAGCTGCTGGCAGCTGTGAGATCGTCCCGGATATATTACGTATTTTCGCCGAAGTTGGTTCACCGAGGTGGGGAAGAAAGAGACAACATGTTCGTGAACCGCATTGGGTGGATTCGGCATCATGAAGAGGTAAAGTGCCTGGGGGGAGCGACTCCACCGCGTCTATTTTGCCGTTGCCTTAACAAATTTTATTTAAAGACCAAAAATGCAATATGTTATGAATTCAGTATATAATTACTTTCATCTCCATCGAACCATCGAATTAGGTGAACGTTTTGTATGCATGTTGGAACTTAATGTCACGTTTATTTTTATTTCATCCCTGTTTGCGATCACGGTTAAGTTGCCACTAACAAGGATTTTTATGTTTCCCCTAAAACGAAACTAGGTTGAAACTCCAGTTCGGGTAGGGGGGGGAGGGCCACTCCATTGCCATCTCACCCGTAGTGCTGGAGAGCACTCATTTGAGCTGTCCAACGCTACGATAAGATCTTTTGATAAGGACCGGTGGATGTCCTACATTCCACACTACCTGCCCACATCCCATCCACTTTTCTGCACAGGTGATCCACCCTGGAGCTCCTGCACCCTTAGCCCTTTGCGGAGGTGTCCTTTCTCCTGGTCCAGGACCGTTCCCTTGGACCATGGCAGGCGGAAATGTGAAAACATTTCAGGGTTTCTTCCATTACACCGATACTTATCAGAAGTCTACTTTAAATGAGTCGATTACGTGTCATGAGCCCTCTCATCCTTATCTTGAGTATTGGAGAAAAATGGGGGCCCCCCCCCCCTCGAACTGGTTTCACCACACCTGGAATGCGATCAAAAATAAAAACATGCCGAAAATGTACCAAAAGTTCGCTTTTTCTGCGTAATAGTACTGACAACGCTAGCTGTTTAAAGGCAAAATTCATTAGGACTGCGCGAACTGGATGGCTTGGTCAGGTCCGCCTTCTGAAGCTTTTCCACCAATGACGCTCTTGAAAATACTCCGCTTCCAGGCCATCGCCATCACTGCCTTCACTGCATTTATTTCAAGAAAAAATTTGAATCGGCTGTGTCGACGTAAAAAATGATATCTGAAATTTTTACCAACAAGTATTCAATTCTATGTGGATTTTTGCTGAAAGGCAAAACCTAGGATGAGTTTAGGTGGATGAACTCTTTTGCCGCGTAACAGAGCTGTTAACAAGTGTCACAAAAGTTTCCTCCACTCGGCTCGGGAGTACGGGACACTAGGGAACTGTAAGGACCACTGACCGCTTCTATTTTTTCTGGCAGTATTCTGGTGTCCTTCTCCTTTTGGCGGATTCTTTTCCAGCAGAAGGGCAAGTCCCTGGTGTATATATGCGCGCATCATAGTGATGGATGAACTGCGAGTGGCCTAAAAATGGAAAA